ATCACATTTGTTAATAACATAACACCTTTGACCTCAACAAAAACATCCTCAAATACTGGGAAGGTGGGCTGCCTCGGTGGCTCAGCGCCACCTTCAGCCCAGGGCGTGATCCTGGAGTCCCGGGATTGAGTCCCACGTCAGCCTCCCTGCATGGAGCCTGCTTCTCCCTCTGCCTTTGTCTCTGCCTCTCTCTCTCTGTGTGTGTCTCTCATGAATAAATGAATAAAATCTTAAAAAAAAAATACTGGGAAGGTATCTGAGAGCCTGGCTGGCTCAGGTGATGGAGCATGCAACTCCATCTCTGGATTGTGAGTTCAAGCTCCACGTTGGGTGCAAATATTACTTAAAAAAATAGAACCTTAAAGGGGCGCCTGGGTGGCTCAGTTGGTTAAGTGTCTGCCTTTGGCTCCGGTTGTGGTCTCAGTGTCCTGGGACCCAGAGGAGCCCCAAGTCCAGGCTGGGGAGCACCAAGTCCTCAGCAGGGAGTCTGCTTCTCCCTCTCCCTCTGCCCCCTCCCCCTGTTTGTGTGCACTCTCTCTCCCTTTCTCTCAAATAAAATCTTGAAGAAAACACACACACACACACACACACCAAAAAAACTAAAAAATAAATACTGGGAAGATACCAAGCTCAGGATGTCAGAAAGTTCCCTAATTAGAATTTTCATTTGAAGGATTGGATTTTATCATTGGGGATAAATACTGTCAGTTATTTCTTAACACGACAGGCTTACTTTGTTCATTAGAAAAAAGAAAACAAAAAAACTGATAAACATCCAAGTCAGAATAACCACAATTTGTCAGTCAAGTAAATTGGTGTTCCATGAAAAATCGTGACTAGTTCAACTCACAACTTAAATGGGATTGGAGTAGAACAAATGGCAGTATATTCTCATTTAATTCTTTCAGCCTAATGGACCAAGTGCTTTTCCAGACAATCATCATAGAATATTAAAAATATGTGTATTTCAAGACTCAATATTTAATACAATTAATTACTGTAACTATTTTGTGTGGGACTTTAAGTAAAACTAGATTTTTAAATTTTTTCCCTTTCTGCCAGTGGTGTTGAATACAATGACTACTATTTCATTTTGTTGCCACTGCCTTGATTTGTTGTTAAGGCACCAGGAGTTTACCACCACCCCCCCATTGCTTTTGTACCATCAGTGCAAATTTCAGTACAATTATTCTGGGATAAAGGATGAGATTCAAAAAGATTATTGTACACTTTGAATGTTTCAGCATCTCTTCTGTTTGTTTTCAAGTGTTCATATAAAAGATCTTTGTAATGAGCACTGGGTGTTATATGGCTGATAAATCACTGACCCCTAGCTCTGAAACCAATACTACATCACATGTTAATTAATTGAATTTAAATAAAATTTTAAAAAAGATCTTTGGTGATTAGCCAGTGCTAATACCTGATTAATACAACCAAAATAGCAAGTCCAGACAGTCTGTAGATCTATCCATTTCTAAGGCAAAAAAGTGCAGTACTGCAGACAAGATCGGCTTTCATGTTTGCAGTCGAATCTTAATTTGATGAGTTGCTGTATCATTGGAAAGGGCAGGGCCATTATTTCTTTTGCGGTTTTTTTCAAAGTCTAAAAGGCATTTAGCAAAATAAATTCTTCTACTGCTTCAGCCAATGCACTCTAATAACTTGCCCCATGAGATACTTCACTGGGTTTTTCATCTCCAACCTGGAAAGTTGCACCAAATAAGTTTTGGCTTTTGAAAATTTTATTACATCTATGTTCAGAAATTCAGTACCTTTTTAAAAACTTTGAGTGATTGACCTCAAAATGGTGTTACAACTTAATTGGCACCATACTATTCAGAAATGTTCTATCCTGTAAGATACAATAAGGTAATTTTTTATAGACAATAATTGTTAACATCTATAGAATTAGGGAAAGGTAGCCATCATCATATTTTTTATTTCTTATTTACAGTGTCTTCCAGTTGCTTTGGGGCAGATTTCTCCTTCTATGAGTCAGGGAACCTCCCTGATATGTCATTTCATCTTTTTTCTTATCTTTATATGTAGATGGAGTATCTGAGCCTTGAGGAAATGAGTCTTCTGATTTTCCTTTTAAAGTAAAAGATCAGGCTCTAGAGTCAGACACATGAGGATTTTAATCTCTTCCCCCAGTGATGAGCAGTGTGACCTTGGACAAATGCTCAAGGCTTCATTTTTTAAATATAGCTCCTGGGGTCAGGAACCTAGAAGTGGCTTTGGGGGAATCCTGGCTCAAGGTTGCTCCTAAGACTATAATCAAGATGTTGGTCAATGCAGTCACCTGAAGGCCTGACATGCTGGAGGATCTGCTTGCAGAATGGCTTTCTTATATGGCTGTCTGGTTGGTGCTGGCAGTTGGCCTCAGTGGACTTTTCCAGAGAGACCTCATAACCATGGTAGCTGTCTCTCACAGAGTGAATGAATGTTCTATCATATTTGATTAGGACAATGGTAGTGTCATACCATTCAGCCTAATAGACCAAATTGAGTTTATGTTTCAACATGTAAAATAAGGCAAAGTATATTTAGATCTTTTTGCAGTGATGTTATCAAACGAGGATTCTTGACTGCGTGTGGGAGGGCTTCTGGACATTGGGGCTTGTGGTCTCCTCAAACAGTGTGATTGCTTTGATTCTGTGATTTTATGGAAAACTTTGAATGTTTATTCTGAAACATCAGTCTTTTGCTGACCATATTTATTTATGTAGTATTTATAGATGGATGAGTTCTCCAGAAGCTATGCTTTTGAGCTTGGGTTTTTATATATCAGGTGAAACCAGAAATAATTTTGGGGGGGGGAGAATTAATTTCGTAAAAAATATTTGTGCATGAACTTGTTTGGATAGACATTTAAGGCCTTTTTATACATAAAATGTTAGTGGGGAGGAAAAAAAAAAGATCTGAATAAACTTTACTGAGAAAACCCAACATCTCATTTGGAGCGTCTTTTAAGTGATTTTGGTTTCCGAAGAACTGCAATTACTGGAGTCTTGTATTTCCTGCAGATACAAAGGGAGTTGTTTCCTTTTTATTTTTTATTTTTTGAAGTTACCCGGATCCAAAAACGGGGGGGGGGGGAAAGGCAGCAAGAAGTTTTTGGGGGGCAGGCAGTACAGCACTTGTGGGGGAACAAGTAAATATTTCCTTTGGCTCGCCCAGCAGGGTCCTCTATCACCTATTAATGCTGAGTAACAATTTCAAGCTCCTCATCTTCCTGTCCCCCTCCTTCCCTCCTGGAACCCTGGCATTTTGCTTCTGTTGATTTACTTCTGAGCTGAAGCTGGCATCCCTGTTCACCTGGTCATCAGGCGGGCCCCCCACCCCATCCTGGCTGGGCCCCCCCTCCATTGCTGCCCACATCCGACTGGTCCCACCCTGTAGATTCGGTCTTGGCAGTGCTGTCCAGCCCTTTCTTTCCGTTTCCTTTCCTCTTTGCCTCTGTACCAGGGTCGAGTCCGTTCTCCCCACCTGGACCATTGCAGTGATTCCTAATGGCCTCTGGCCCCTCAGTCTTACCCTAAGTCTAAGCAGCTTCCAGGTTAATTTTGCCTGCCCCAAATTCTTTCAGGTTCGCTCAGTGTTAATTAAAGACCCAGTGTGTCAGTCGGCCACTGGAGGTGCTCCCCCCAAAGGCAGCAAGTTGCCTTTACCGTTTGTGTTACCATCTTTCCTTTGACTACCCTGGAAGGGACTGCAAGCTTTTATCTGACTCTTCCAATTCTTTTTTTTTTTTTCCCCCCCAAGCTGATCCTTCTTCCTGTAAGTGCTTTTGGTTTAATTCCCACCCACCCTGTAGGGAATGCCGCCTCCTTTGCAAAGATTTTTTCCTCGTGTCCTCTTTTCCTCCACCACTTTTTGTCTTTCTTTTTAGGACACTCTGGACTTTGTATCCCTCACGATGTTTAATCATAGCTGGTTTCTTCTGATGTAGCGTGTACGTGCTTCCCTTATCGTTTCCACGAGATCAGGGTGTACTTGAAAGGAGGGACTTAATCATTCATTATTTTCTCCTGCTGCAAACTCCTAGCCATGGGTTTCACAAGATTTAGGACATCAATAACGAATTGTGTCACTCCATCGGTAAAACGGACTTAAGATAGGAAAGCTGGAAATTTCTGTTTGCCGGGTAAAATGCAGAAACACGGACAAATCAGGTGTATTGAGATACAGACACGCACGTGTGTGTTTTTCAGTTCGCTACGAAATGAGGTAGGGCACGGTTTTTTATTCCCAGGCCGTGCCCCCAGAACACCGAGGTGTCGGGTTGTGGCTGGGGGACGCGAGCGCGGCTCGGCACCTGGTGGGCGCTGCCGGCGGGCGCGTCGGGGAACGGGCAGCCCCGGGAGGCCGCTGGCGGGGGGCGCTCGGGGGGGGGCGCTCGGGGGGGGCCGCTCGGCGGGGGAGCCGCTGGGGGGGGCCGCTGGGGGGGCGCTCGGGGGGGCCGCTGGGGGGGCGCTCGGGGGGGCCCGCTCGGGGGGGCCGCTGGGGGGGCGCTTGGGCGCTGGGGGCGCCGGGCCCTGGGGACCTTCCCGCGACGCCCGGACCTGGAGCCCGAGCCCGAGCCGGGCTGGAGGGGCTGGAGGGGCTGGAGGGGGGTGGGCTGCCCAGCCCGGAACCCGGACGGCCGCCCCCGCCCCCGCCCCGCGGGCCCCGCTCCCCTGCCCTCCCTCTCTCCCTCTCCCCCCCTCCCCTCCCCTCCCCCTCCCCCTCCCCCCCGCGGCCCCCCCAGCCCCGCGCGGTCGGCCTCCGTCGGGGACCAGGGCGGGGCGGGGTCGGGCTGCGGGAGGGAGCGGCGGCGGGCGGGGCGGGCGGGCGGGGGACGTTGCCTCATCCTGTACATTTTCCTGGAAACGGGACGCATCCGGAGGCGGGCCCGGGAGGGAGGCGGGAGGCGGGAGGCGGGAGGCGGCGGCCCCTGTCCCCGCCCCCGCGCGCCCCTAGAAAAGCCGCGCCGCCCGGCGCCGCCCCGTGCCCGCGCCCCAGCCCCAGCTCCAGCCCCAGCTCCAGCCCCAGCTCCAGCCCCAGCCCCGCCGCCGCCGCCGCCGCCCGCGCGAGCCCGAGGCCCGGGAGCATGATCGTGGACAAGGCGCTGGACGAGCGGCGCGGCGGAGACGGCGGCCTCATGAGCAGCCCGCTCAGCCTGGCCTGCTTCTACGGCGCCTCGCCGCCCGGGGCCTCGGCGCCAGGCTCGCCCGCCTCCGACTCCTCCGACCTCTCCTCCGCCTCCGCCGCCTCCTCCTGCGGCGCCGTGGACGCCCGGCCCAGGGGCTGCGCGCGCGCGGACCGGCCGCCAGGTACCCGCCGGCTCCCCCCGCACCCTCCCCGCACCCCCGGCGCCTCCCCCGCACCCCCGGCACCTCCCCGGCACCCGGGGCACCCTGACACCTCCGGCGTCCCCGGCACCCGGGGCACCCCGCGTCCCCGGCACCCCCACGGCACCCCCCGCACCCCCGGCACCCTGACACCTCCGGCGTCCCCGGCACCCGGGGCACCCCGCACCCCCCGCACCCCCACGGCACCTCCCCGGCACCCCCGGCACCCTGACACCTCCGGCGTCCCCGGCACCCGGGGCACCCCGCGTCCCCGGCACCCCTGGGGCACCCCCGCCCCCCCCCTGCGCAGGACGCCGCCCCGCCCCGCACCGGGAAGGCGGACTTGCCCCGGGCCGGGCGTGTGCTGGAGTCGATGCCCTTTGACCGTGTGTGAACCCCGGCGCCCGCCCCCCCCCCCCCCCCCCGCCCGGCCGGCACCGCCGAGGGCCCCGAGAGCAGAGCGCCCACGTCTAGGGCTGGGGGTGAACCACAGTGGATTCCTCTCCCCGTTCCTCTTTCTTAAAAAAAGAAAAGAAAAAGAAAAAAGAAATTATTAAGCCATAGTTCGTATACTTGGGGCGAGTTTTTGGATCTGCTGTAGGTATAACTTTTCTTGTGGTCACCAGTGAGGTTTGAGGACTTCAAGTTCAATTTGTTTTTTTTTTTAAGTATTTATGAAAATGTTAAGACCTTATGCTAAAGAAAAGAAACTGCCATTAACAAGATGTTAGATGACACTGGACGGAAAGCCAGCTCGGCTTAGGCCTTTTGTTTCTGACGTTTTGGGATTTCAGAAGTCTGCCCCGAATTTCTGTGGTCTTGTTTTTATTCTTTGAGCCTTAGAATGGTTAGAGCAAATCCTAAAGCAAACCATAAGGGTTCCTTTCTTCTGTTGTGAATCGGGTAGTTTCTTTTCTTATCAAACGTAGTTGCATAACTTGCAGGAAAACAGGTCGGCGCTGTGGGTAGGTCAAGGGACGCCTAGGCCATCGCAAGTCCTGGAAAGTGCTCAGCGTGATTTTAAAGAACGTTCTTGCTCAGGTGTTCCCTCCTGCTAGCCACTTGGGCTTCGGCTTTCTTTCATTTTAAAAAGTGATTTTTCATTGTCACTTAAAAAGTAACTTAAGCCACTCGATTTTGCAAGGTGCTCCCCGTGTGTTAAATGGATAGCAGATGTGAAAACTCTGTGCGTGCGTGTGTACGTGTGTATTGGAACCTTTTCTCTCACGTTTGCTCTTCCTCCGGCTGAAACTGTTATGCTGGTTCCTTGGTTTACCACATAGACGTAGGGGATTTCTGAAACCGAATTTTTCTCCCCGTGACGTCGAATTAACTGCTGTCATTCCAGAGAAATGCCGTGTTAGATGCTGGCAGGATTTTCCTAAACTTAAACATCAGATCAACTGGTCGTTTAATTTGCTCCGTCCTAGAGGTGTTTCCTCTCATCTGCTTATGGTATATCTGTATCTCTGCATATTCAAATTAGGCGTTTCCTGCCTCATCTTCTTTTTCCCACTCTCCACAGTGGCTCAATTATTCATTTCCTGACTTTCTGCATGTTTACTTTGTGTTCAGCTCATCCCAAGAGGTTGTGACATAGTAGCCGTCAGGACTGGAATGCTGTACTCCTAGGCTGCATTTTAAAGTGTCTTTTAGAAGTTAAACTGAGATGAGATTGTTTGCTTTCTACTTAGAAGGCCTAGGTGAGCAATTCCAAAAACCACTGGTGAGGGGAAATCCTGTGTGTGTACGTTTAAGCTTAGTGAATTTAAGCAGCTTTCTTGGCAGAGCTGAACTGAGGGAAATAATAAATCTAAGACATTGTTAATTGTTAGGCTTTGGCACACTGAGGTCTTTGGAAGAAGTTTTGTGCTCTCCTAGGTGAGTGGAATGAATAGACTTTAAATTTCTTCAAAACATAAAGCCTTTGTTTTGAAAAAGCTAAAAATCCATCACTTACTGCTTGCTCCCTTAAGGTTTATAAAACAGTCAAGATTTGTGAGAGGGTGGCAAAACCTGCGACTCTGTCTTTTGGATGTCTAGGACTCAAAGACAAAGAGGTTTAATTCGGGTTTATCTGTTGGCTCTGCCCAGCCCCCCACCCCCCAAACCACAGCTTTATGAGCTTTATTTTCTTAGGTGCCTGGTGGAGAAAGGTGTTAGCAAATGAAGAATCCTTAAGCAGGGCTGGGGACTGACCTGCAAGGCCTTTGACCGGAGAGAGTCGGAAGGGCTTTGCAGTCTTGTGGGTTGGGGACTTCAGACATTAGACAGCTGTGCTTTTGAGATTATCAAGATTTGTGCTTGTGATGAGATTAAATTGGGATGTGTTTCGTTTTCTTTTGAACAGTTGAACCCCATATGGGGGTTATTGGAAGGCAACAGAGAGGACCCTTTCAAGGCGTTCGTGTGAAGAACTCGGTGAAGGAACTCCTGCTGCATATCCGAAGTCATAAACAGAAGGCTTCTGGCCAAGCTTTGGATGATTTTAAGGTGCCACCTATTGTTTGTTCTGGGTCAGGCCAGGGAGGTTATTCTGTCGGGGTATTTATTGTTCTCGGCTGACCTCGGTCCAGTAGGTCTTTGTAGACAACACCACAGCGTCATAGGATGGCGGGCATATTGGTCTCTGTCCGCTGTATTCCTATCACTTAGCCCCCGGTACTAGGCACACAAGAGAAATTTTAATGAATGAATGAAGGAATAAATGAAGGCAAATTGGAGGCCACGGATTCATGGGGGTTCGACTGAGATGGGAAAACTTGACTAGAAAGGGAAAACTCAAATGGCTTATTGATTTTGGTCTTTGACTTGAACAAGATGAAAGTGAAAACGGGGAAAGTTGCAAGATAGAATGAAAATTAAGATAGAAAATGAATACTGCTGGGATAACTATCAAAGATGTTTGATGAGCTGTGAAGAGTGGTAGAGATAAGTCTGCTTTATTGATGTTTATTAAGTAGGAAACCATTTTGATGTGCACTAAGCTGGAAACTTTTTTCCCTTACAGACACAAAGTGTGAACAGAGAGCAATTCACAGGTAAGCATTCCTTCTATTCATAGTATGGGGGCTTTAGGGTTAAATAGCTTAGTGGGGTTGTGGGTAAAATTTAGAAAATAAGGTGATCACTGATTCCACATTCCTTTCTCGGGGTATAGAATTGAAGAACACAGTACCATATAGTGGGAAAAGGAAAGGACCCGATTCGTTGTCTGATGGACCAGCTTGCAAAAGGCCAGCTGTGTTACATACCCAGTTTTTGGTAAGTATCTCACTATTTTCCCCTGAATGTGCTTGGAAATTTTTCCTGGAATGATTTTGAAAGAGAGCACGCAACCTACTTTTTCTCCTTTTCCAGACACCACCTCAAACGCCAACACCTGCAGAGAGCATGGAAGATGTTCATCACGGTGAATCCAAACAGGACAGCAGCGCCGATCTGCTTCAGAACATAATCAACATTAAGAATGAATGCAGCCCGGTGTCCTTAAATACTGTCCAAGTTAGCTGGATGAGCCCAGTGGTGGTCCCTCAGGGCTCCCCCCGAGAACAGTGTCAGGACTTCCACGGAGGGCAGATCTTCTCTCCGCCTCAGAAATACCAACCATTCCAAGTCAGCAGCTCTCCACACATGATGGATCAGGCCTCCCTGTACCAGTATTCTCCACAGAGCCAGCACTTGCAGCAGCCACTGCCGCCACAGCACTACACCCCCAGCCCAGCTCTGGAGTACGGTCCTTATTCCAGAACTTCCCAGTCCCCCAGCTATGAATCGAACTTCTGTGAGGGTCAAGAACCACAGTTCTGCCCAGATCAATGTTTTGCATCCCTTCTAAATAGTCGGGAATCGGAGAATATCGCTGTTCCCATTCAGAATCCCCCCAGTGTTCAGCAACAAAATGAGTCCCCCCTGCAGAACTTCAACATGATGCCACACGGTGCCTGTGAGGCCATGGTGGGGCATGATGCGGGCGCTACCACGCTAAGCACCTCAGTGCCGTTCCAGAACATCATCGGAAATCCAGGGAACACCACACAGTTAGGGAAGTCCTTTTTTCAGTGGCAAGTAGAGCAAGAAGAAAGCAAGTTGGCAAATATCTCCCAAGACCAGTTTCTTTCAAAGGATGCAGATGGTGACACGTGAGTATCCCTTTCTGAACCTAATTTGATAAACCATACTCCCTGGATACAGTGGGCACAGAATTTCTCTAGGGTGTACCAGGCTGGACCTTACTTAGTAAGTGGCTAATCGGGATGACGAGCGTAGGTAGAAATTGCTGTTGCTAATATTTCAGGAGTTTTCTTCTTATTTTCCGTCTGAACCGATGATCTCTTCTCAATTAATGAAAACATACGTGTCTTTGAATAGTTGGTTTTGAAAGACCAGCGTGGATTGTGTCTATAGAGCAAAAACAGATCGTGATTAGTTGGTCAGCCATCACCTGTGAGGTGACTTGTAGACTAAATCTTAATCTGTCATGACATCTTTGTGGTCGTGGGCAAGTTATTTAACCTTTCTAGGTCTCAATTTCTTGACACGTAAAGTGGAAAGACCTCCCTCATAGGGTTTTTAGGAATATTAGATATAATAGACTTAAGGCCATCGGTGTGGTGCTTGGCATTCTTCTTACTATTTCTGGTAACTTAACACATCTGTTGCAACTCAGATGTATTATTAACCCAACAGAAACGATAAATTATCGTCTGTACTGTTTCTTTTGAGTGCACCAACGTATCAAGAAAGGGGCTAAAGTAGATTTTTTTTTTTTTTTTTTAAAGATGAACGTTGTGAAGTCAGAAGTAATCACCTCTTTCTTTCCTTGTTTCCCAGGTTCCTCCATATTGCTGTTGCCCAGGGGAGGAGGGCACTTTCCTACGTCCTTGCAAGAAAAATGAATGCGCTTCACATGTTGGATATTAAAGAGCACAACGGACAGGTGAGGACCTCGTCCGAGTGAAATGGCAGAGATGTCATGGGGAAGAGGACACTGAGAAGTTTCATATTTATGTGCGGGTCATTTTAGAGCTCCCAACCGAGGGAGTTGAGTTAATATTAACTTTGAGATGTTGATTCTTTGCCATCATCAAGCTTGAAGTTATTAACGTTAACTTTGTAGTTATTTGACCAAAGACTAACTGGGTGTAATAAAGCCACACCCTAGGCTTATGTTAGTTTCCTTGTGTTACAGTATCTTTGAGCTTATTAATAGGATTTATTTTCCGTTCTTAGTTTTGGTTCATATTCCTCATGAGGGTAGGGTTACATATTTAAACAAAATCTTTTTTTCCATCTGAATGTCCACAGAGTGCCTTTCAGGTGGCAGTGGCTGCCAATCAGCATCTCATCGTGCAGGATCTGGTGAACCTTGGGGCCCAGGTGAACACCACTGACTGCTGGGGAAGAACCCCCCTGCACGTCTGTGCCGAGAAAGGTCACTCCCAGGTGCTTCAGGTAAGAGCCTCGAGCCAGCTTCTGCTATCACAGGGCCGAAGAGGTAGGGCTCGGATAAGAGAAGCCAGATGTAGGTAGCCTGTTGCAGTAACCTGCTTTGAGTCGGCTTACTCATTTCTTGGCAATACCAATAAGTACGTATTCGTGTAACTTGTCTTTTGCTAACATGTGTCTATTTTTTAAAATTTCGCAGGCAATTCAGAAGGGAGCAGTGAAGAGCAATCAGTTTTTGGATCTTGAGGCAACTAACTATGATGGTAAGAACAGAAATTTTATTGGATGAAAACCCATTTAGAGAGTGGGACCCATCAGTTCTAAGGGTATTAAGTTTCATACCAAGAAGGAAGGGAGGCCATTAAAGCTAAAATATTCTACAGATAAAATTAGCACTGAGACGCCACGGAGGGAATATTCAGATTGCCTTACCAGTTCTCCGAGAGGCCATTTGTAGGTCATGGTAGAGACCGTCCTCAGGGTTTGTAATTGTGGAACAACAGAAAGACCTGGCGGGTACTTGACCACTGCTTTATTGCTTTATTACACTTTTTTTTTTTTTTTTAAGGCCTGACTCCTCTGCACTGTGCGGTTGTGGCGCACAATGCTGTGGTGCATGAGCTTCAGAGAAACCAACAGCCCCATTCACCTGAAGTTCAGGAGCTTTTACTGAAGAACAAGAGTCTGGTTGACACCATCAAATGTCTGATTCAGATGGGAGCAGCAGTGGAAGCTAAGGTACGTTCTCAGAAGAGGTTGGAGATAGGATAGGGAAGAAAAGGGGTTGTAGCCAAAGACCTTGTTCCCGAGTATAAATTAAAACTATTTTCCCTCTTTTTAAATTAATGGAGTGAGTAGCAATGCATGGATAATTAAGCTTAGATTTTTGAAATCATCAGCTTTCTGAATTTGCTTTTAATTTGTGGATGATTATTCAAAAGATTATTAAGCTGTGAAATAAATTTGTCTTTGTTTAGAAAAGGAAAAGAAAATGCCTGAAATTGATACTGTTATTTTGGCTTCCATTTTCACATACTAAGCACAAGAAGTAGTGATTTCTTGTAAGAGTTGTTCCATCATTGTGGGGTCTGGACTTACATCTGGTTTTTAAACTGGAAAATATTTTATTCTCAAATTTGAGGTTTATTTACTCAGTGTCTCTTATGTACAAGGCACTGAGTTGGGAGCTCTGGGGGAAGAGTGCTTGAATCAGAAGCTACTTTAGACCTGGGGAAGCCAAAGAGGTGAGAGATGCAGCTAATTGTGTGTGTATACAGGGTAGCCACCAAGTCTGGAAACACAGGCGAATACATAATAAATGTTTTATTGTTTTGCATTACAGTACTTGATAAAATAGTATCGGCTGTGCTTCTACGTTTTGTGGCCACCCTGTATATAAAAGCAGACGATGATAGGCGATTTATAGGAAATTGATGGGGAATTTAGGAGGGATAGGAGATTTCGTTTAGTCTGGGATGAAGGAAGGCTTTGTGGGGTTGGGAGAATTTGTGGTGAGTCTCCAAGAGTGAGTCAGACACTTGTGAGCCTGGGTAGAAAGCGTATCCAGATGTGGTGTCTGGATGTTCATTGTTCTCCCCCCTTTGCCTCTTTTAAGGATCGTAAAAGTGGTCGCACAGCCTTGCATTTGGCAGCAGAAGAAGCAAATCTGGAACTCATTCGCCTGTTTTTGGAGCTGCCCAGTTGCCTGTCTTTTGTGAATGCAAAGGTACGTCTAGAAAGCTTTGGTGACTGCATTAGACTTGGAATGACCTCTTTTATACCATCTTCGAGCTTTTGAGCTGCTTGCCTGGCAATCTCCCTCTCTGAGAGGTGTCGTTTTATCTCTTTGTCCTCAGGCTTACAATGGAAACACTGCCCTCCATGTTGCTGCCAGCCTTCAGTATCGGGTGACACAGTTGGATGCAGTTAGGCTGTTGATGAGGAAGGGAGCAGACCCAAGTACTCGGAACTTGGAGAATGAACAGCCAGTGCATTTGGTTCCTGATGGTCCCGTGGGAGAACAGGTGAGGGTGACAGAAGGGAGAGGAAATCGTTTCAGGCACTTGGCCTGAAACATAAAGGGAGACGAGGTTGTGTAGGGCAGAGGCCAGTGGGTGCTCTGAGAGGTGCCCTCTCAGCGTCCGCGTCTCACAGTGTCTTTGTACCAACTGTGGAGTCAATTGCTCTGATGCTAAAGAAACAGTAAGAAATTTGAGTGTTATCTAGGGACCCAGAATGGTCAAAGGTCAGTCTTTCCTTTCCTAACACAAAGTTGGGTTTAGAGTGAAGTCAGAATAGTTGGAAGCTGATGAAAGAGGAGGCACCAAGGTTCCTGCAGACATTGAGAAAAGAGATTCTTAGGTCTACAAGTGATGGGTCTTCGGATCGTGAGTGAAGTTCTATCATTCCGTCTCCGTAGAGCATTCAGGATAGTCCTGGGGATGTAGTGAGTGCTCAGTAAACATTCCCTGTTCTAGTTGTTTCTGTCTACTAACGGATACTAAACCGAAAATGGAAGGTTGGTTACATAATTTAGAACCTACAGATATTTGAAACAAAGTTAGGCTTCACTCATCATACGGTGATATATTGTCTTTGGGGATTGAAGCTTCACATGACTCAACTTTAACTGATAACGAGAACTGAGTCTTTTCAGAACGTAAGATTTTTTGATGGAAATCTTTCCTTGAGGTAAATGAGGTTGACTGCGGCTGTGGGCAGGTCGTTACAAACTTTGATAATCACAAAATTACACAGAACACAGTTTAGCCTTTTCTTTGAGTCACAGCCCTCACTGTGACCAGGCTGTTACCCTATTTGTGGGGCTCTTTGTAACTTCAAGTGAATCTCTTGATAATTTCTAGAGTTCTCCTGTTTGTTACACCATTTAATAGTTCCAAAAACGTCGCAGTGTGAAGGTTCAGCTGAGAAAATGGAGCTGGAGAGGTTGCACAGATAGGAATCATCATCGAATAATAGTAAATGGCAGGCCTACCCCCCCCCCCGCCCCCAGTGTTTGCTCCTGCTTCACTGTGGTGTGCAGCCATCCAGCGGTGTTCTCAGGGATGAGAGTTGGGCAGCCACTTGGCTTTTCCCTGTTCTTCTGTTACTCTTCCTTTCTGCTTTTGTGTTTTTGTGTCTTGTGTGTTAAGGGGAGGGTTTTCTCCTTTGCTTCTGTGGTCAGGCTCTGGTCATCGTGTTTCCCATCCCAGCAGCTATCAGTGGCGTCCCCTGCCCTAATCTTCTTTCCTCCAATTGGTTGCTTTTAATCTGCTGTGGGCCAGGAGATAGATAATGACATTTGTCAGACTGGGGTATAAAATCAATCACTAGATTCTGAGTGAACCGAGGGGCTCTCCTGTGATTCGAACATTTATGCACAGATGATTTACTTATTTATTTTTTAAGGCTTTTAAATTTTACTTTAGAGACAGTGCCTGTGAGTGAGCAGAGGTGGGGGTAGAGGGAAAGGGAGAGGGAGAGAGAGAATCCCAAGCCCGCTGCGGGGCTCGCTCTCACGACCCTGAGATCGTGACCTGAGCTGAAATCAAGAGTCAGGCGCTCAGCTGACTGAGCCACCCAGGCGTCCCTTTGTGCAGATGCTTTAATTGGATCTCATGACAGCTGTTCTCACTTTTAAAGTGTATTAAAGATTAACCTGTATGTTTATGAAGTGGATTCTGGGTTCTTGTTAGTTGAAGCAGACGTTGATATGGGTGAGATACCACAATATGCCATAACTGCGGCCTTACGTGAAATGTTCTCACAAGTAGTATGAGTAGAGATTAGGAAAGGATGACATCATCGGAGATTTTCAACTTTAGATAATTCTTAATGGGGATGCTGTACTTTCTTGTACTCCGAGATCATTATAGAAGAGCTCTAATAAGCTTGAAAGGAGTTACAGTAGTAGTTTTTAAAGTCACCCTAAAATCTGGACGGGTATCGTTGCGTACTTCTTCATCTATTTACTTCCAAGTTGATAGGAGTGGTGTAGAGTGTACAAAAAAGGGATCAAACGCTGAAGGAAATACGGTACCTTGAGCATAAGAAAGAAACCTCACAAATCTATTTATTTCTCTTCCAGATCCGACGTATCCTGAAGGGAAAGTCCATTCAGCAGAGAGCTCCACCGTATTAGCTCCACTGGCTTGGAGCCTGGTCGGCAACACTCACTGTCAGTTAGGCAGTCCTAATGTATCTGTACATAGACCATTTGCCCTGTATTGGCAAATGTAAGTTGTTTCTATGAAACAAACATATTTAGTTCACTATTATATAGTGGGTTATATTAAAGGAAAAGGAGAAAAATACCTAATTCCTCTTGGCAGATTTTAATATTTCATACCCAGGTATCTGGGATCTACACATCTGAATTTAATCTTGAATGGTAAAATCGACTTCAATTAACAGTAGCTTTTGGGTAGGACAAGGCTTTGATTTGTAGCAAAGGGCATTGCTTGTGTAGCGATTGCCAGTTTAAAAGCAAGTAAACTGTAAACATTGTTTTTACGAAAAAGGAATGCACTTGAAAGGGAAAAAAATCAATCTGGATGTAGTCGTGAGGCTTCATTTGGCCTGATGAAGTACCTGATAGTCGTTACTGGTGTTGGAAAGCGTCTAGGCGTTGGACTAGATGAAGTGTACCATGGTTAAAATTCGATTTTCGCAAATTGTATATAATTGTTGTTTTTGTCTTTTGTTTGTACATATTTGGTCATTAACATGGCCACATTTGAAATGTAAATCAGTAAAACAGAAGAACAAGTGAACTGTCACTATTTAAAAAAAAATTCTGCACATTCAGAAGAGCTGTGTAATCAGCCATCTACCATCTCTGTAGAAGAAACAGATGGAGAATCGTTCCCCTAGTGGCTGATCGAGCTCTGTTTGAATTGTACATATGCTTTTACTCATGCATGGAGGTGAGGCATGGTATTTGTAAGGAATTGCATGCTCTTAAAGAGGATACCTCTTTGTGTTCTCTTTCTAGAATTTATTATTTACTTGGTGGAATTTTGTTTTACCTTTATGGGAACATCAAAAAGTCAATACTGAAACATGTCTTACTGGTTTTTTTTTTATTGTTAAGTAGTGATAACACAGCATGATATTTTATATTACCATTCAGAAAAAAACGCCTTATTTTTTAGTAACCTTGATTCTGTTAATATTATTTTGCTTACCTCTGGCATACCCCGAGGAATGTATTTGGTTTTGATTGCACACTAATTCACTGTAATAAATTTGATTCATTAAAAAGCTTTTTTTTTTTTTCTTAAATGAAAAGTCCCACAAGTAGCTTGGCTGATTTATCGTCTTCGTAGCTAAATCCTACTAAAAAAGTTGACCTTTGGATCGATCACATTGTTTGACCCAGTATGTCTTGTGGACAAAAGTTATAGTTATTTGGTATCTGTAAATACGGCTGTGATGTGAACTCATGGAAAAACTCATGCATGGATTTAAATAAACATTAATTCAATAATACTCTACATTTTAAGGATGTGCATTTCTTTTCCCAGTCCCTTATTTATATTCCCCTAGGTTGAAAAAGTGCTATTAATTACTAATCTGAATACCTTTAAATTAGTTAATATATTTTAATTTGGGTTTTTTTTTAAGAACATGATTCCTAAAGGTATATAAAGTTTAACATAAAAAATTATTTGCCAAGTTCATAGAGGTTTATTAGGTTCTGAGAATATCATGAAGCCTTAAATAGGTACTGTTGATCATTTAGAAGTTCATGTGCCAGAAAAGCCTTTATGTTTGTGACTTTATTTTTCATTCTTTATTCTGTGGGAACAGTGAGCACAGGAAAAACAGGAGATGACCGGGATCATCCCGAGAGATGTCAGCCTGGGAAGGGCAGTAAACGGGGTCCTTCTCCTTCCCAACATGCCATTTTGATGTGTGAGAACTAACATCCCAACATCTGTTAGCATCAGTTACTGCACATACATTGTATTCTTAAAAGCTCTTGAGAATCTGGTAAAGGTCATGAATCTTTTCTCTGGAAAAGTGTACCTATGCATATATATGCAAATTCTGTATACAGTATCTCCCATTGCGTTTCACTGCAACCTGATAACCAGAACAGTAGAAAGGAGAGGCCCCTGTGGAACATAGCTACACAGTGAGCTTTTTTCAAGCGAGCTTGCCTCTCAAGGTCTGTCATAATTAATCGAACCAGTGCTTGGCAGGCATAGGATTTGTGTGTGTGTGGGTGGGTGTGCAAAGCTGTATAATGGATAATATGAGGCATTCAAAGACAAAAGGCCTATTTCTTAAGATGTATATGTGGCAAACAAGGCATGCGCTCTACTAGGTAGCATAAAGGGGGGGAGAAATCTAGAGATTCAGAAGGAGAATATCTTTGAGAGAGAAGTAAGTAGGGAGACTTCAAGGTAGAGCATGTGAGCTGTATCTTCAGAAGAGTTGATTTGGACATTCCTAGAGGCGGAGGAGGGGCTGGCGAAAGGGACAGAAACAGAAAATGATGTGAACCAAGACAATAGTATTTTGGGGGAACCACCAGTGATTCAGTGTAGTTTCGTTAGCATCTGGATGGCCAATTAGTTTCATCTTGGGTTCCAGCCCTGACGGTAGCATTCTCATGAGAGGCATGTTGAGGAACATGCTCAAGCAGCCCGGGGCTTGGCCGGAGAGGGCGCTGTGATTGATGAGCAGGATCTGCTGCCGAGGTATGCGGAGTGGCTCTTGGTATTGTTTTAAGGAATGAGCCCCGCAGAAAGCAAGACCACGTGCTCGACCGCAACCTAGTGCCTGCTACAGCGCCTGGCACGTACAAGGAGCTCATAAAACAATGGGGTAAATGAGTGTATGAAGGTATGAGTGTGTGCCGATGCCGGTTGGGATCACCGATTCTGGGCAGAAGTCAGGTTTGAGCCAAAGTTCTATTATTAAGCAATAATGAGCTAATAGCAGTTTTGAACTTGACTCAGCCGTGTAATCTAATCGTGAAATCAATGGTACGTTAATGAAAATGGGCATAGTTGTACTCCTTATTTATTTAAAAGATTTATTTGTTTATTTTAGAGAGTGAGCAAGCAGGGAGAGGGGCAGCGGGGAAGAGAGAATCCTGAAGCAGACTCCCCACTGAGCGTGGAGTGGGGCCCTGGGACCCCGAGACCATGACCTGAGCCATCCACAACCAAGTGCCAGCTGCCCAACCAACTGAGCCACCCAGGCACCCCTGTTTATTTACTTTTAAGAATTTATTTATTTGAGCAGGAGGGAAGGACTGGGGAAGGGGCAGAGGGAGAGGGAGAGAGAATTTCAAGCAGACTTCACGCTGAGCCCCACACAGGGCTCGATCCCACGACCCCCAGGCCACAACCTGAACCGAAATCAAGAGCTGGATCCTTAACCTACTGAGCCCCCCACCCCCACCCCGGGTGTCCCTGGCTGTGCTCTTTTTAAAATCAGGTGGTTCCTTTTGCAAAGGACTAACCCGAGGACCGTAGTTTGGTCTTTCAGTAAGGAATCCCCTCAAAGGCCAGAGACCAAAGCTTCCAGTTCTATTTGTTAATCAAATCAGTAACATTTAATATCCTTTCTACGTTTTTACATAATGAGGAGAGGAGAATTTCCGCCGACTCCTCTAACCTTTAATAAATGTCAACTTCTTAAACTCAGCACCACTGACATGCACGTCCTGATAGCATCAGTTGTGTGGTGAGTGTGACCTTGGGGAGCCGTCGCCCCAGCCCCGGCCTTCCTGGTTCCTCTGAGATCAGGCGGGGGTGTGGGGGTATGGGGGTCCGCAGGGGCTACGCCCGACTGCTAGGTTTCTGTCTGTCCTGGTGGTGCCCTGGCCCTGCCCCTGAGAGGAGGGAGGGACCATCTTAGTATTGTCAGAATAGCACAGTATCTGACGCATAGGAGTCAGTAAATACTTGGGTTTACCTTTACAGCCCTTTTATTTTTTCTTTCTTTTTTTTTTAATTTTTTATTTCTTTTATTTTTTTATTATTTTTTTTATTTTCTCTTTTCGCAGCATATTTCATACTTTGATGTGTCACTATTTTATCCCCCACATGGGATTACAATTTTTAGTGCAGAAATACATTCATACTCCAGGGTTACACCAGCCCTGGTTTTCGTCTGTTTTCTGGTCCCCTCCGGACTTTGCTAGACCCCGAATCCTTAGTTGCAGGCGCAGTGCGACCGGAGATTGTTCTGGAAGCGTGTCCAGCTTTCTTAGGTGTAGGCTGTGTCCTCTAGTCCAGGCTCCCCATTCTCTTGGCCTCCCAGCCCAACTGGGTTTGGGATCGACGGGGAGTCAAACAGCTAGTTCAGCTGCTGAATGCGCTAGGGCCAAGGTCTCGGCATCTGGTAGGCATCAGCACCTTTCCAGAAGCTTCTGAAACGTGCAAGCGCCTCAGCCCCACCTCAGACTTCCCGAGTCAGAATTTCCCAGGGTTTTCAGAGCTCCGGGCAGGTATATATGAAGATGATTTAAGTGCAGCTTTCATCTAAATTATTTAGGAAATGCAGACTTTGAAGAGAGCACGTGTGGCTGGACAGTGGCCATGTGGTGGGAACAGAATGAGTTGCTGGAACACCCAGGGGGCTAAGGTAGCGAACTGAGGAATGCCTGCTACGTGCCAGGCGTGCATGTTAGAGGAAGCAGCGTTGACAGATCAGGAGTCACCAAATCTGTTTTTTGTTTTCCTTTTTCTGAGGTCATTTTGGTTTTTAATCCTCAGGTGTATCAGTTTCCTAGGACTATGTAACAAGTTACCACAAAGCCGGCGGCTGACAGCGAGAGAAATGTGCCCTCTTACAGTTGTGGAGGCCAGAGCCCTGACATGAAGGGGTCAGCAGAACCGTGCTTCCTCCAAAGGCCCTAGAGGAGGATCCCTCCTCACCTGTTTCAGTTTCCGGCAGCTGCAGGCAGGTGTTCCTGGGCCCGTGGCCCTGTCGCTCGGGCCTCGGCCTCCACCTCACGTAGCTCTCCCCTCCACGCCCGGGTCTCTCCTCTGTGGGCCTCTAACAGCAGCACCCTTGTCATCGCATGGAGGCCCCACCGAATAATCCAGGGAGGACTTCAGCTTGAGATTCTTAACTACATGTGCAAAGACCCTTTTTCCAAATGGGGTAAGGTTCACAGGTTCTGAGGACATGGACCTGCCTTCTTGGGGGCCACCATTTAAACCACTACACCAGGGAAAGGGGCCTTACAATCTTGTCTTCTACTGTTATCCCTTTTATAAAATGGTTAAGATGAATACTTCTTTTTGAGCAACACTGTAGTCCTGTCTTCAGAATCTACGAGCATTTTTTATACATATTTGGTTTAAGATGTGATCTATCGTCTCCATTTCATTTTTTATTTTTTATTTTTTTTCCCATTTCATTTTTTTAAGATGTAATAACTGGCATTGACCAGGAGACTCATTTCACGTTGACAAACTTTAGTAGAAACAATAAAATAATTATTGGGCTGTATAATAATTTAGAAATTATTATAATGGTCAAACTTTAATTATTCGAAACTTACAGGAAAGCGTCTTTGATCATCATCAACCATTTCATTCTCTGGTATGCATGTGAATGAACTTGCTTCTCTTCACCTTGACCACACTGCCTAAAAAGCACCATAATCATAAATGACATGCTTTCATTTTTGACCATCTGACCTTGTAATGATAAAAGCAGGGTAGGCACTTCCTGGAAACCAGAGACATTTGAAAGTGAAAGATCAACTCCAGGAAATCTGTGGTTTCAGACAATAAATACTGAACCACTTTGCCAAAATCCATTGAAATATCACATTTTAGGTCTAGATGTTAATTTTTCAAGCGACAGGATTCTGGCTATTTATTCGAAAGTAGAGATTTCAATAGTTCTGGGTACTTGGTACCTGAATCCAGTATGTGTTTCCTGTAGGAACGGCTTAGTACCTTTGGGTTCTGATAATAGGGACACATTTTAAGATTATGAAATAATATTAGATGTCTTAGCTGAAGCGATTTGGAGCATACTTTTGAAATCATTGCTTCTTTTCTCAACCTCATGGTGTCTTAATGCCTTGGCCTTTTCTCTGTGTTTGCAGCCAAACGTCTCTCCAGCAGACCCTCAGCGTCAAGCCCCTGTGGAAGAGTGTGGGCTACTTCACTCAGGCGTCTCTCGTGGAAGCTCAGGTGTCGGCTGCTCTGGGGGTGAACTGCCCCTGTCTTTTGGGGACTTGGGGTTTGAGTGTGAGCATTTATTTGTCTCAGTGGGAGTCTGCTCATCGAGGGCCTGTCTTTCTGAAATGGCTCCAAATGTTTGTTTTACCCAGGATATCACTTTCATTCATCTTTTAAAAACCTTTCTCTCCCTTTTTGCCCTAGGATGTATTCCTTCTAAAATTACATTAACATTTTCAAAAAATTCTCCTCTGTAGGCTCTCACAGACATGGAAATAAGAATTGTTCATCCTCAAAAAAAAAAAAAAAAAAAAAAAGAAAAAAAAAGATTTGTTCATCCTCAGGATGGCAGTTTTGTAGAAAACTAAAAATATATTACTTGGGAAAAAAGGAAAGCATTTGGCCTTTTGGATTCTTGTTCCCAGGAAATTCCTGGATAATTTTTCAAAGAGATCGAATTCTGGACTCAATGGTAGGAAACTTTAAAATTAACATACCACATTGCTGTGTCTAAAAGAAAAATAAATGAATGAGACACTTCCAGGGGCTTACAAAATTATTTTTTCTATAGGCCGGACAAAGCTATAATTTTAATAGGCTGCTCTTCCCAAACAGACCTTCTAAACTTAACAAAAATCTGTCCATTTTTTTTCATGTGGTGCAGTAGACAAAGATTTATAGACAGAAACTTAACTTCTACAGATTATTAATTTCTATACACATTTCAATCATACAGACTAATGAAGAACTTCATTGAAAGTTGACAGGTTCCATTTTAAGACGTTTTATTTCCAAATGAATCAGTTTTTTCTTTTCTTCCCTCGGGTGTCATTGTTATATCAAATCTGTTATCAAGGTAAAAATATTTGTTGAATTAATCTTTTTTTTTTTCTATTTTCCTTGCCACCACCTATGTCTAGGTTTTTAGGACTTCATTCCTTGATTACCACAATAGGCTTAAAAAACCCCATTTTATTATGGAAACATTCAAACATGCAGAAGTAGACAGAATAGTGTTTGGGACCCCATGTGCCTATCAGGAAACTTCATCAGTTATAATCATTTTATTATTTTTGTTTCTTCCCCCTTCGTTTTCTCTTAAAGATGTGAAAGCCCACCCCACTCATCACAGAATGTCAGTGTGTATTTCTAGTTGATAAGCAATTTGTGTCTCCCATAGCTTTCTAATTATTCTTTCTCTAATCTTATTTTTCTCACCAATCCAACAATTTCTAACTATTTGGCATACTTTTATGAAACCTAAGAAGGTTTCAAAGGCTCAGGATTGCTTATTGAATCAAATGCAAACTCTCGTCCTGATTTACAAAGCCATCTTTTCTTTAGTTTCCCCCATCTGTTTGGTTATCCATTATTCCCAAATAGGCTGTCAGGTGGGTCTCCTCACTACTCAGCCGATGCCTTGATTTTTCCCGTCTCTGGTCATGCTCTTGCCTACCCAAATTCTCTGCATCCTAGAAAGCTCTGCTTGGGTGGTGTCACTTCTATGAAGCTTTTCCCAGCTCATACTGACTTCTTTCTGCCCTGAACCCTTGGGATTTAAGCATAGTTCCTTAAAGTCTGGTGTGTGTGTGTGTGTGTGTGTGTGTGTGTGTGTATATTTAATGGTATTCTAGTCTTAATTAGTGTAATCTGGGTAGTAGGTTCTGAGTCACTGACTGGCAGTATTTGTTTTTAAAGACAACTTTAAGATGTTTGGGTGAATGGTATCTCTAGGGTTACAAGAAAGGTCAGTGGTGCTGCACAAAATCTAGCATCAGTATGATACGTGGAATTCTAGGATTGGATTCGTAGTGTCTACCCCTGGTGTTACTCCTGTGACTACGCTATGTTACATGACCAAAGTTATTTTCCAGATGTGATTAAGGTTAGTAATCAGTCGACCTTAAGGTAGGGAGACTATCCAGGTGCACCTGGTCTAATCACACGAGCCCTTTAAAGGAAGGGAGTCCTTTAAAGTACTCTGGCTGGTCACAGAAGAGGAAGAGAGATTCTAAGCCTGAGAAGGATTACACCTACAATTATTGGCTTTGAAGGTGAAGGAAGGGGGGTGGGCATGAGCCAAGGAATGCAGGTAGTTCCCAGATAGCCAGAAGGAAAATGGGATCTCAGTCCTACAAGCCCAAGGAACTGAATCCTACCAATGGGCTGAATAAGCTTGGAAGCATACTCTTCTCTAGAACCTTCAGATAAGAGCCCTGCCCAGCTGACTCCTGTGGTTTGGCCTTGTGATACTCCACGCAGAGAGTACCACCAGGACCATTCAGTTTTCGGACCTGCCAAGCTGTCAGATAATAAATGGCTGGTGTTTTAAGCTGCTGTGTTAGTGGTAATTTGCTATGCAGCCATGGAAAACGAATAAAGTAGATAACACAGGATTTGAACTCATGGTAAGTTTTATGCAATTTCTGCTATTTGTCTTCCCCTCAGTTTTACTGAGCTATAACTGACATACAGCACTGTAGGTAAGTTTAAGATATGCTGCATAATGACTTGACATCCATGCATCTGAAATGACTGCCACAGGAAATTGAGTTACCATCTGTCACCTCATATAGTTAACATTTTTTGTTTTTCCTCATGATGAGAACTCTTAAGATCTGCTCTCTTAGTAACTTTCAGATGTACCACACAGCAATGTTAACTACAGTCATCAGGTACAATGCATCGTCAGTGCTTACTTATCTTGTAAGTGCAAGTTTGTACCTTTTGACCACCTGCACCCAATTTCCCCACCCCCACTCCCTTCCTCTGGTAACCACAAGTCTCTTCTCTTTTTCTATTTTTTTTTTTTTTTTTTTAGGATTTTGTGTGTCATCCTTGTGCAGAGGTCATGCTAATGTCCTCTGTATCACTCCAGTTTTAGTACATGTTCTGCTGAAGTGAGCAACCTGCTACCTTATTAGGGCTCCAAATCCATAAGGGAGGTTTTCCAACAGATGGAGGCACTCAACATGTGTGGTCATTGCGCAGGCTAGCGGTGCCCTTAGTTTATGATGCTTTGCTTTGGTCCATCAATTTCTGACTACAGATAGGAAAACTTCAAGGAGAATAAGGCCTAGCTTTCCTTTTTTTTTTTTTTAAGTCTTTAGGAGGGTCCTTGAGGAGCAGGAGGTAATTAGAGCAGCTTATGTGGCTGGTATTAGTGTTGGTTCGTTATACACTCGGACTAATCATTACCTCTGATCTGGGAAGGTTTTGTAGGGAGGGGATGTACCCCTAAGCTCTGCAGGCAGCCAAGATTTCTGATGATAGAACTTGCTTAAAAAATAAACACAGAGACTCACTTGCTTCGGGAATTGGTTAACAAATAGTTAATGAGGATATGTAGGTAGATGGGAACTGAAATTACAGTTTCTTCTGCGGCTCAGAATCGGAGACGATGGGCAGGAGACAGTTTAATGGGCAGCTGTGTCTGCAGCCCTGCACATATTACACAAACACATGGTTAGACATTTATTTGGGGGGCCTGCGTATGGTTCATAAAGAACTTGTTCCTTATAGAGTATACTGCTGAATGACTCCTTGCAGGATGATGATGAAGCTACAGCTTCTAATTTAAAGAGTTAGGCAACTATCCTTTTAAAAATTGACTTTGTGAGGTATAGTTTGCATACCGTAAAAGGTGTTTTTAAATGTATAGGTCATCAACTGCATACACCCACACAACCATCACCACACTCAAGAGACAGCACATTTTCATCAACCAGGCAGTTCCCTTGTACACACCCCTTGCACTCGATCCCTCTCTCCATTCACTGCTCCAGGTAACCATTGATCTGATTTCTATAGATTAGATTATAGATTAGTTTTTGCCTCTCTGGCACAGCATAGAAATGGAACCATACAGAATGTACTCTGGTGTTCAGTCTCTTTCACTCAGCATGACGTTTTGATTCGTCTACGTGGTCGCATTTAATAGTAGGATATTTTTATTGCTGGGTAGTATCAATGACACAATTTGTTAGCCATTCACCTATTTTTTTTTTTTTTTAGCCATTCACCTATTGGTGGACATTTGGATTATTCCAGTTTTTGGCTGTTAGGAATAAAGTTGCAAGGACAGTCTTTGTGTGGAGCTATGATTTTTGTTTCATTTCGGTAAATGCCTAGGCATGGAGTAGCTGGTTCAGATGATGAGTGTCTGTTTAACTTTAAAAGAAACTGTCAAACTGTTTTCCAAAGCGGTTGTATGATTTTTCAATTTCATTGGCAGTGTGGAGGAGACCCAGCTACTGTCCACCTTCCTTAATACTTGGTATTGTTGGGTTTTTTAAAGTGTTAGTCTTTTTTTTCTTTTTTAAGATTTATTTATTTATTTTGGTGGGGGAAGGACAGAAAGAAAGGGAGAGAATCTCAAGAAGACTCCCTGCTGAGTAGGGGGCCCCAAATTGGGGAACATATAGGTAAAATAATGTTATTGGGGTGTCATATCTGCTAAGTGGCAGTTCTAGGAGGTCTATAGGAAGTCCTTAAGAATTTCCATTATGGAAATGTACACAGCAGAAAGGGTCTTAGAAAGAAACAGAAAATTTATTACTGTGTACATGAGAAGGGAAGTTTGTGAGGGTATTTGTGAGTGTGTGTGAGTATGCAAGAGTGCATAATATGCGAGAGCTCACACCTCAGGATCTTCCCAGATGTGGCGTTCTCCCTTGACCATCCTCTTCACTTTTAGTCAACCTGACTTATCCTTAGGGTTTGGCTTTTTTGGCAGGGGGAGGGGCAGAGGGAGAGTGAGAATCTTTTTTTTTTTTAATAGGTTGTTTTTTTTTTATGATAGTCACAGGGAGAGAGAGAGAGAGAGAGAGAGAGAGAGAGAGAGAATGGCAGAGACACAGGCAGAGGGAGAAGCAGGCTCCATGCACCAGGAGCCCAACGTGGGATTCGATCCCGGGTCTCCAGGATCGCGCCCTGGGCCAAAGGCAGGTGCCAAACCACTACGCCACCCAGGGATCCCTTAATAGGTTTTTTTTTAAAAAAGATCTTATTTATTTATTCATGAGAGACACACAGAGAGAGAGGCAGAGGGAGAGAGAGACTTTCAAGCAGAATCCATGATGAGAGTGGAGCCCAACACAGGGCTCCATCTCGTGACCCCGAGATTGTGACCTGAGCCAAAATCAAGTCAGGTGCTCAACCAACTGAGCCACCCAGGCCCCCCCATGGTTTAGCTTTGACATCACTACTTCAGGGAAGCTTGTTGCATGCTTTCTTATTTTGTTTTTTTATTTTTTTTTAATTTATTTTATGATAGTCACAGAGAGAGAGAGAGAGAGAGAGAGAGAGAGAGAGAGAGGCAGAGACATAGGCAGAGGGAGAAGCAGGCTCCATGCACCAGGAGCCCGACGTGGGATTCGATCCCGGGTCTCCAGGATCGTGCCCTGGGCCAAAGGCAGGCGCCAAACCGCTGCGCCACCCAGGGATCCTGCTTTCTTATTTTGTTGCTCTTTAGTTTTTTTCTATCACAATTGTAATTGAATTTACAGAAATATTTCTTTAGTGAATATCTTTTCCAATGTACTGCAGGCTCCATGGGGCCCATTTCCCATCATGTATCTAACATGCAACAGTTTCTGGCATGGAGTATGTACTATTTGTTGAATGAATGAATGAATATCCAAGAGTAAGTAGGTTTCCTTTCTCAGAGTCCTATTCTGAGAAATTCATTCTTTTTGGTGTATAGGTCTATGAGTTTTTACTTAAAAAAAAAAGTCATGCAGCTACCATAAGAGTCCAGATATAGAGTAATTTTATCTGTTTCCTGTGGGCACCCCCCCCCTACAAATTCCCTTTTAGTAACCCTTTGTGGCCAAATTCTACCCTCAACCTTTGACCTCTGGCAACTCCTGAGAATTGCTTATTTTATATTACCCTGAGCCCTTCTTTTCTTTCCATCCTGCCTTGTGTGTATTTCAGCTGTCTTACCACTCAATCGTACTCTTGTACATTTTATCAGAGAAATGAAATTAATGCAGATAGTTGCCTCACACCAAATTTATGCTCCACACGGAATCATTTCATTTAATAAACTAGACTTGACTACTTTAGGAATAAGAAGAGAGACACTAGGTCACCTGGGCTTTTGTTTGTGGCCTATTGTTTTTGCTCTCTTAGTAGCTCTTAACATCTGTACGCACCTCTATTTCCCTACCCCTGCTTTAATTCAGTTTCATGATCTTGTCTAGGTCATTGCCATGGCCTCCGCCCTGATTCCTTGCCTCTGATACTTCCTTGCTTACACTTCATCTCTACATTTCACCCAGTGTGAACTCAGACTCGAAGACTGAGAGCTCTTTGGTAGTAACCTCTGGAGCCTCAGTACCCAGGCATGCTACTCAGAGCTCTTCATGAGGCCCCTGCTTACTTCTTCAGGGTCATCATTCTTCAGGGTCTTGTTTCTTGCACTCTGTGGTGTTCCAGATTATTTGACATTTTATAAATGTGCCATGCATTTTATGGCTTTTTAAAAGCTTCTGTTCATGCTGCCTTGAAAGCCTTTGGTGGCTTTATCTGTTCAGTGAACGCCTACTAATGATTGAAGACTATACAGGCTATCTCCTGCCTTCCCAAAGACCCGTTGACTATTCCCTCTTTTGTCCTGGTAGTTACCTGTCCACCCGTCTGCCTAACACCCATAGTTCCTTATTGCACACCTGCATTCACATATTTGTCTCCACTCACTACAAACACAGCTCTTTGAGGCCCAATCTGTTTCTTACTCATCTTTGAATCCTCAGTGCCTAGCACAGTGCCTGCCATACAGTAGGTGCTCAACAAACATTTGCTGAATGCATCAATGGAAAGGTTTATATTGTATTACTACCTGAGCATTTTAATGGTTTATACAGACCTGTTTTACATTTATCTTTTCTTGGTATTTTGGAAAATTTCTATCAACTACTCTCCCATTTTCATGAGAAGCTAATGATCCTATTTTGTATGGTCACTTGAAGTTCTCTCTAACCTTCCATCAGTCGCTATGCTTCTATATCTGTGTGACCTGGTTAGTTGGCACTATTTCAACTGGGCTTACCCAGGGCTGTTTGCGTATAGAAACTCAACTTGCAACTATGGAAGTGAAAAAGGGGAAAATAGGAGATGTCGAAAGTGAACATGAATTTCCCATTCGTGGCTAACTGGCTTTGAGCTTCCTCTCCATTGAGGCTCAGAGTAAAGTCAAAGCTCTCATTATGTGCTCAGGTTTGAACTCGCTATAGGTCATGCTGTTAGTCAGCTATTTATCAGTTGTATTCAGTGCCCTATTAACTTTATGGACTTTCACCTCAATTATCTTAGTCTTAAGGTGTTTGGGTGCAATGTATTTACCATTAAAGTGGAGATACAGTCTTTCTATGGGAAAACGAAGACAATAAATCCTCTAAAAATATTCTGTCCAACTCATCACATCTTTTCATCATAAAAAAGCAAACACTAGTGTAGGAAAGGATTCTTACTAACAAAGTAATCATATTTGTGATCAGTCAGCTCTTGGTCAGGAGTGAGGGAAGGTGGGAGATAGGAGGCAATAGTTTGTGTCTTCATCTCCTTATGACCAGGATTTGGGTCTGGGTGGGACTCCCTGTTGAATGCCTCCAAGTATAATCTTGGAGCTCTCTGGAAAGGAAACTGTCATCTCTTAGGACAGTTATATATTCTAGGAAAGATCTAAGTTGTAAAGAAAGTGTTTGGCACCCTGATTTCAAATTTTCATATTACTAATTTAGGTTGCAGTGATATTTCTCTCAAATTTTCATTTTCACTAGGATCAATAAGGAAGCTTGTTAAAACAGCCCTGATTTCTACTCCTGGATACTCTGGTTCAGTAGGTTTGGTATGGACCCTGGGAAGATGAATGCATAACCATCTCTTTGGGTGATTCTGATAC